TGGGTTTCAATAAAAAGTAGCTTGCTGGTGGAGGGTATTTAAGATTCAGCATAGCCGAATATAGCACTCTTACTTGTTTTTTTTTTTTATTTTCTGTAATATTGAGACTAGAATCATATTTATTTCTCTCACACACAAAATCAAAAGTTTCCCAAAAAAGTTTCCTTGTGTAGACCAGCATTACGTGTCTTGTGGTTTTGGTTAACCCTTTCACGAACAAAACTAAACCGCTGGACTTTTTATGGATATGACTTCACCACACACTTTATTTTTACGTATATTGGTCATTTTTGATGAGAAAAAGTGTTTTCGAAGGATATCGCAGGATATTATCCTTTTTAGCATGTATTGACATCAAATTCTAAAAAATAAATTATTTTCCTTTGGAAATAACCATTTACTGTAGGGAAAATTAAAAACAAAATCTTGGGACAACTTAAGTTGGAGTTAAATAAAAAGTGGCTAATATTGCTAAAAATCTTCTAGGGCAAAGGTAAGTTTTGATTTGATACACATTGTATTCATAGCTTCTAAACTGACATTTTAATCGGTGTTGTCATAGAAACCAATAATTATCGTTACTAGTTTTTTAATCAACAAAAAATGCATTGGTCTCGTGAAATCCAAAGTTATCGGTTTTATGTCCGATTTAGAATTTAATGCTTTATTGAATTAAAAACAATAACATTGGATTTCACGCCACTAATGTTTTTTTGCTGTTTTACAGCTCCAGAAAGGAAAATGTTTTTTAAAAAGTTTTGAACAAAAATTTAAAAAAATGTACAAAAATGAAAAAATAAAGCACAAAATATGCTCTAAAAATTCGAATGCAAATTTATGCTCTTATGGGTAAAATATGCGCTAACAAATCGATGCCAAAATTCTTAAATTGGTCTGAAACGTCTAAATATCTTATCCATGAGTCCATACGACGCACCATAAAAAACATGCATTTGCATATTTAGATTTCTTTGATAATGACACATAATAAAAATTATATTTTCAAATCCGGCGGAAAAAAAAATTTGCAAAAAAAAAGTTTTTCAAAATTGTACTTTGATTCGATATAAAAATATACGAGAAAGCTCCTTTCAAACCTACTGAGATATTAAGTTATTTTATATTGCATTGCGTTGAAAATCATTTCTAATTTTAGGAAATTTTTTTCAATTTTTTTTTTTTCAAAATTTTGGGTTTGGAAAGAAATTAAAAAAAAAATTAAAATAACTTTTTTAATTATCAGCATATTTTCTGATATATGACATTTGCAATAACTATTTTAACATGCGCTGATAGTCCTCGCCTTTGTTCTGTTATAGTTCTTTAAACCTGGGTGTCAAATATACATACATACAGCCATAGTCATATTATTTAGACATACTGAAAATTTAAGTATGCTTCGAATTAAAAGCAAATTTCGATACTTTATTTGTAATTTTGCAACAAAAAATCATTCCTATGCTATTCCTTAAAGTGTATAGATTGAGCTAGTTAAAACATTTCTGACAAAAATGTGGTGTCTCTTGGTAAAAATCCAAAAAGAAGTCAACAATCTCAGTTTTCAAAAATTATTTTCTTTTCAAAAGTATTTATACATTTTCACAAATCATTAAAAACGCTTCATACGCAGATATTTACACTAAAAACCCTCCAAAAACTTAAGGAAGAGAAAAAATAATGGAAATTCCTGTCGACGCACAAGTTTAGGTTATGATGAAATTTTAATTGGGTATATGGGCATTATAATGGGGAAAATTTAATTGAAAATGATAAAGAATAGTCCTCAGTTTATGAAAAATTACTGATTCATAAGGAAATTTAAAAAATAGGATGTATATGGGGAATTTCGTGTCAAGTGACCCAACTTTAAAAATCGATGTCTTCCAATATGGATGAAATTTCTACCAAGGTTAGTACTCTGGATAGTAGGCCAGACACAAATTTTCAGAAAGCTATTTCTTCATCCTTTTCAAAATGTTTTTCTTAATTGTTTAAAAATTAAAAAAAAATTTAAGTTACTTTTTTCAAAATGGGCCCTTTTTTTTGCTTAAAAGAAAGTTTATTTCCTTGAAGGGCTTTATAGTGCGAGTGAGATATCTATCAAAAAAAATATTTTTTAACTCAAGAATAATAAATAATAAAAATAAAAAAAAATATTTTTTAACTCAAGAATAATTTTTTTTTAATATTTGGCACTTAATGTCCCCTATTTTTTCAAAATGGACGTTTTTGTTGTATTTATTTTTTACTCAAAAAAAAGCTTAGGGGTTTTTCAACTTAAAAAATTTATTTTGGGAGAAATTTCCCATTTTCAATACCAAATTTCATCATCTTTACCATTTTTAGATTATGCCCTATATAGGGAAAAAGGGATTTGTTTCAATCAGCGTGGAGATTTTTCAAATATCCATCTATCACACAGAGGGAAAAAGAAATATACACGCCTGGTACCAAATTGACATCAAACTGTTTATAATTTTTCAATACCATCCGTTGTCAAAGTATATACATACGTACGACAACACTATGTAATGTTGACAACGCAACGTTGACAACATTGCAACAATTCGTTGTCGAAATCTAAATTTTATACACATCCGTTGTCTAAATGTTAACAAACGTGGTAAGCTCACTGTTGACAAGCAATCCGTTGCCAATAGTGAGCTTTACATAGTGTTGTCGTACGTATGTATATATTTTGACAACGGATGTTATTTAAAAATTATAAACTCTTTGGTGTCAATTTGGTACCAGGCGTGTATATTTCCTTTTCCCTCTGTGCACGACTGACTTGTATGTATGTAGGGGGTCCCGTGCACTAATTTTTTCTAGGAAATACACATATTCCAAAATAATCTTAAAATATCTGAATGGGACCAAACTATAACTATTTCGATAAAAAGCGAAAGTAAAATGCCTCTCAAACCCACTAAAAACCATTTTGTGGACCTAAAATAATCTAAAAACTATAAAATTATTTTTCCCATAATCAGATCAAAATTATGAAATTTTTGTGTCAATTTCTTTTTTTTTCAAAATTATACTGTAGTATAATTTTTATTTTTCTCGTGTTCAGTACATTAAAACGCATCGATTGAGAGGTATACCTACTTGAGATTCTTAAAAAGTTGTTCCTCTGGACACCCTAATGTACATACATATATACATATGTATATACACAAGCAATTGCACATTGCATCTTATTTAACCTTCACCTTGACAAAACACTGCATCTGAAATTCATATATTTATATACACTTGAAAATGTGTGAATGTATACATATACATACAGTGTCGGGCAAAACTAAAGCTCGGTCCTTTATTTCTTAAAAAAAGGTAGGTAAGTATCGTTATTAAAATATCTAAATTTCGAGTTATATCGGTATTTGTATACTATTTTATGGAATTTCCTATTTTTGGGGAATGTATCCCAAAGCTTAGACTTTTTCGTTGTCATTTTTCCAACCGCGGCTAACTACGAAAATCTAAAAATTTTCGTCGTTTGTCGCCGCCAGTTGATCGAATCTGTGTTTATGATTTGACAACGACATATATTATTTATTATTTCTTTGTTGATTTAATAACGTCGTATATTTTTTATATTTTTGTTGTTGATTTGACAACTATCCGTACATACTTTGACAACGGATGTTATTAAAATTATAAACACTTTGATGTCTATTTAGTGCCAAGCGTGTATAATGTTGAGAATTTGTGAAAAAAAGATAAAATCTGAATTAATCGGGTCAATATTTAAAATTATTTAATATTGTGCTAAAAGTAATGCTATCTGATGACAATGTTCGAAAATTCAAAGTTATATTCGAAAAAAATTTAAAACTATTAAAAATACCACCAGAATATGACGTTTCGAATTTAATTTTTTTCGATGTCATCATAAATACAAGTCTTCATTATATATTTTTCCTAAGTTTCATTTAAATCGGTTGAAATCAAAATAACATTTCACTATAGTTTCAAGAAAATTTCCCAATATTGCATAGCTTGTGCTTGATCTTCACAGTTTATGGGTTAACATTATTCGATTTTACTAAAGCTTCATATGTACATATGTTTCTTATTATCTTGTATTGTACGTATATTCTTAAAAAGTTATATATAAAATGGATAACAGTAAATAATAAAGCCTGTTTTTTTAAAATTTAAAAAAAATCCTTTCTCCGAAATCCTCAAAATTTTAATCACAGGTACCGCCAATGGAGATTTTCTTAAAATTTGCTTAAGAAAACTGAAGGGTTTCCCATTTATGACTATACCTCGAATTCGGTTTACGCTATTAAATGAGGATAAAAACTCAAACTAAATTAACACCAATATATTAATGTTATGTCAAGGCGTTATTAGAATATTTCCTAAAATTTTGTAATATTTCTAATTTAAGTGTTTTGTGACACTAAATGATCGGAGGAATTTCTATTAACTTTTACAATTTTTAACAAATTTTTGTGGTTTATATCTTATTAGAACGATAATTATTTGCTGTTAAAATCCAAATACATAAATTTAATGCCAAAACTTCGTATTCCCCTTCAGAGCCGTGGTCCCACCAGTTAAAGTGGTCATTCACGCTAAATTTGTTCGTAATGCATTTATTTCCATACTCGGAATCAGCACACCAAATGGCAGGGATTAGATTTGTACTATGAATAATACCTTTTTAATAGGTATTTTACTTTTTTAAGAATTTAAATTCGCGCTTTAGTTTTGTTCGACACTGTACATTAGTAAGCTGGTATATGTGTATGTAATACTAACACGTTTATTAACAGTTTGCAGTCGATTTCTGCAAATCATTTCTGTTTAACATCCTTGAACTTAACTTTCACAAATAAAAGAAAAAATAACAATGACACTGACAGTGACAGTGAGTAATAGTAACAGTAAATACTAATGTAAAGATACTTTAAATGGTACATGCTTCAGATATCATATGAGAGTAAAAGATTTTTATTTTTTATACATATTTTTAGAAAACAAACCTTTTGTATTTGTCAAAAATTTATTTTTTTATTTGTATTTAATGTATTTGTTTATATTGGTATCTTTAGTTTGGAACGTTGGTTTTGTTTTTAAAATTCTTTTTAATTAACATTTTTTATTATTTAAGGGATAGAACAACAAACGTTATAAAATATAATTTATTTAATATTATTTCTTTATATCACTTTTAGGCAGGACTTTTGCTCTTAATTGACAACAAATAAATTTTATATTTTAGTTGTATTATTGTCTTATTATACATACATATATACATATGTATGTATTACTATTGATGGATTGTTAATTGTAAAATTTTGATAGTTTCACTTTGAGTTGAATGAGACAGACGAACTGTTACCAATATGTTTGTTACCGCTAAATTTTATCACTTTAGAGCTACAACGGTTAATGTTCAACTGAAAGTCGTCAACAATTTTCACTGAACTTCCAGCCAACATCCATTTATTCATTCATTTATTTAGCAGCAAAACTCGTACAACCAAGAGCAGTCCAACAAACAGTCACAGTCAAGCAGACGTACAGAAGACAACCCAACCAAACAGACGTTAAATTGTTAGCAGACAAACAGAAACAACCCAACATATTTTAAGACTTGTTTTGAATTTATGCAGGCATATGTGTATGTGTTTATGTACTGGTACGACATATCTGTATGTGTTTATGTACTAACCCCACAAACATTCAGGTTTGATATCAACTTTAAAATAATTTGTTATAGCATTGTGAAAGTTTACACTTTACAAGAATATTTTATTTTTAGGTCTCATAACATTTTTAAACAAAAAGCTGTAAAAAGTATTCCGATTTAAATAATTTCAGTAGCATTTTATTAAATATTTAAGAGTCATGTAAAAAAACCAATTACCCATATTTTAGAATAGTTTAATAATTAATAAAATATTAATTAAATATATTATAATAGATATAAATATGTATTATTCAAAATCAGTGGTCGTATAATACAAAACAACATATGGATGAAAAGTCTGATACAATGCCTTATTCGATTCAAGTATACATATGTACATATAGAGTGGCGACAATTATAATGCCACGTTTTATATTGAATACAGTGTATTTATACCCTACACTACAATAGTGGAGAGGGGTAATGATCGGCCGTCGTTTGACCCTAGCCCAAAAAAACATATCTTAATCGTCCAAAAATTGACTTATAACCATTAGTAACGCGATGAAATTCAGCAGAACTAACCTTTATATAAAAATACATTCCTCCTCTCAATTTATTGAGGATCGGATCATATTTGACCCTAACTCCCATATAAAGAAATTTAGTTTTTCATCAATAAATTGCTTAAATACATAGGAATTAAGGTAAATTTCATCATAAAAGTTCCTTCATGAAAAATAAATAATTTTTAAAATATACTCATGGTCTAGGGTATCATATATTGTCGTCCATGCACGACTATACTTTCCTACTTGTTTATTTTAAAAAAGAATTCATCAAAAATATTTTTATCAGGTAATATTATTCATTGTTTATGGGGGCTCAAAGTAATCGAGTGCCATTTTTTGGTTTCCCATCCGATATCAAAGATTTTTATATTTTTCGAAAGCGTTCAGCTAGGTCTTAAAAAACACCTCTTATAATTTCTGAGTTATAGGCATTAGAAGATTTAAATTTAAAAATTTTGCCATACATTGGTCTACTCTTTTCCAAATATATGATGTAATTTTGAACCGAATGGTTTTTAGTTTTTTTTTTGTGTTAGTTTAGGGCAATAGCATTTCGTTAGCTTAGTACGCAAACGTAACAAGTTCACTTCTTATAGAAATTGAGATTATGATGCAGAATGGTAGGATAACTTGAAATAGACATGATATAATCACAAAATTACCTTGTTTATACTTTAAACATGTACTTTTGATCCGGTATGCAAACGTGCTAAGTCCTCAAAACAATAAAAATATACAAAAAAAAGTGCTAACAAAGCTCTAAAAGAATTCATTCCCTAATTCTTTTTTTCAAATTGATATATATTTTAAAGTATTAACAATTCTTCAAACTCATTACCTTTGATTTAATTCCTACAATTAATTCTTAAAGCTTTCGATGTAGTTGAATTAATTCTCGAATGAATTAATTCCTATAGAATGTTAAATTCCTTCTGAATGAATTAATTTTGTTTGCATTCAATCTGTTACAAATTGAATTAAAATAAATTTCAACAATTCCTATTGATTTTTAAATTCCCTCGGAATGATATAAATTTTGTTTGAATTCAATCTTTTACAAATTGAATTTAAAAATTTTTCAACCATTCAATTTGAAATAGATTGAATGAAAGTTTTGTTTTATAAAAAGCATTCTGTATATTAAAAGTTTAATTAATTTTTTTTCTTTTATTCAATTTGTAACAGATGGAATTAAACAAATATGAATGATCATTCAATTGAATTCATTCCTATAAAGAATGAATTCTATTAGGAATTAATTCAATGGAATATAAAGCCAAGGAATTCAGCTTTAGAATTTAAATTCAAAGAATGATTTTAAAGAATGGTACATTCAAAAATTTAAAGCCGAATTAAAAATATAGGGGAATTAATTCCAAATAGAATTCATTCTTTCCGAGCTTTGAGTGCTAAGTCCATATAGTAGGGATATAGGCGAAACTGAAGGGGTTGTCAAACAAAATTTTTTATTCTCTTCACACAGACGAGTTCTAAGAGAATAAAACACACTTTATAGACCTAAACGCACTCACAAAACTTCAAATTTTCTTCGTGAAATTCTGAGGATATTAGCACTTAATAGTTTTTCTTATCACTTAAACTTAATATTTATTATTTTTTGCCACACTTTTAATGTATTTAAAACCCCGAAAATAATTTATATTTTACAAACGAAAAAAAAATATTTTTTATTCTTTGACATTCATTTTAATTAAAACTGAAAAAAGAAAAGTTGTAAATTTTCGTATTGAAAATGAAAAAAGTATTTCACATACATTGTTTCTTTTTCCATTAGTGCAGAAAAAATAACAAAAAGACGTGTTTATAATACGTTTTAAGATGAAATATCTTCTGAAAAATATTAATTAACTAATATTTTCATTCACTAGTATATGAAATCCTAGTAATAACATACAAAAAATAACGTATTAAAAATACATTTATTATTTAGTACCTTTTGAACAACTGTGCTTACTTCTGTGCTTCTACTAATACATTCTCACCAGTTAGGTTTTTGACAGGGGACTTAGGCCTTTGACAATCCCTTTCGCCTATATGCTACTATATGGCTAAATCCTTACAATTTGCTATTATAAACGCATTAATTAGTCATGTAAAAGGAAATATCAATAATTTTGTACATCAACGTCTAGGAAATAGTGTGTAGTTTGTAAAGTCTTCAATTGAGTAAGAAATCATGGAATACTTTTTTAAAATAAAGTAAAACAAGTAAATATAGATAGTAAACTGATTTTCTTTAAGACGGATGATATAGAGAATAGCGTAAGTTATGGACCGAATGTCATAGTAGTTAGTAAAGAAATTTTGATTCCTATAAAACTTGTTAACGTTGAATTGCATCGCTATACTGCTATTTTAAGCCAGTTGTTTGCTTTAAAGTCGTTGGGGTAGGGTCAAACATTGCCCTACAATGTTGTAAATAGTGTTTCATAAAACTTGTTTATGTCAGATTTCATCACTATTCTGGTATTTTAAAAACAGTTATAAGCGTTAGAGTAATTTTTTCAAGGGTACTTTATATGGGAGCTATGGTCAAATACATATGCAATTTAAGTCCATTAAAGTTTTCTCTATATAGAATTTCAAAGCTATACAGATAGGTTTAATGGATTTATGTGATTTAAAAAGAGCTTTCTGAAGGGGATTTTATATAGGGGCAAGGATCAAATAAAGTCCGATGTCCGCCATTCTTTACTATATAATTTTTCAATATATATACACTTCGTCCGAAGGACACAGCAAAATATTTGTATCAAATTATATCAAATTATCTTCAATATAGAACATGTACGTAAGGAAAATGTTATAAGAAAATGTGCTAAGTCCAGCAAAAAATTAAAATTCAGAAAAAGAAAACGTGCTAAGTCCTAAAAAAACCGCTATAAATATTCAACAGCATTATTTTTAAATTGTTTTACTACCGATATTATAAAAGGAGAAATCTAAGGAAAAAACTACGTTTACAGATTTTAAAAACATGAAATACAAGAGAAGTTATGAAGTTTTTTGCTTCTCCTGTAAAATTTTCAAAAGAGGACTTGTTACGTTTGCGTACTAAGCTAACGATTTATGAATTCAAAAATTCCAAAGCACTAACATATTGAAATTAGCTAAATCCAACTATTTTTTTGGATTTAAAAAATCCAAATTGGACTAAAATTAATTTTTCTTTGGTTTTATATTAGCTTATACAGTGTATTTTCAGACAATGATGACCAAAAGTAAATTTCAGCCACATAAGATAAGTTTTTTCTTGTAACAAAATTAATCCAAAATAAATCCAGAGATTAAAAAGGCCCCGATTATTATATCTGTACTAACGAATATAAAGCAAAGTAATTTGGAAATATCCTAATTGTCTAGCACGTCTATTTAACAAACAGGAGGTTGGTGGTTCGAACCCCGCTTGATTCCAATATTTTTTTTCGAAATGACATTGTTTTATATTTTTTGTAAAACTGTTCACAAAATTATAATAAAACAGCTGAGTAAACAGCTGGATTAAGAAACACTGACAATAACTGAACGCCTGGGTTCAAAGTCGCGGCTGGGAGAAATTTTAACTTTATTCTTGTAATTATGATCAGAATATGAGTATCACAGAAAAAAAATATTCAATAAAGATGTTAATCAGTATTAAATATTAATTTAATTATATTTTAAATTAAAATGATTAATTTTTTTAATTGAATACATTATTTTATAAAAATCTATATATTTTAATCAATAAACCCTTTAATTAATATTAAAATTTAATTTAATACAAAATTTAATTATTATAATTAGTTTTTGTTATTGAATATTAGACTTTTTGAAATTTGGAAAATTTTGACATTTGTAAAAAATTAAATAAGAAAGAAAAAATATTTTTAAACTATTTTATCAGAATTTTTTATTATTTTATCTAAAAATTTGTTATATGGTTAATTTAAAAACGAAATGGAAGGAAATTTACACATCTATGTATGTTTTGGGAACCTATTCCGTAAGTAAAAATATTCCAGTTTTAAAATATGTGTACATAATTTCTGTGGGAATGCCTATGTGCTTAATGTGAACACCTGCTTTGACGACCTTATTTCACGGTGGTCTTTTACATCCTTCTATGAAGAACTCAGGTGGCAATTTTTGTACTTGGCTGTAGTCCCGTTGCGGAATGACA